TTTGTTTTTATTGCTGAATGTGAGGCTAGCATTTTATCATAATTAATGTTAATAAAATAATATCCTTCAAACGAGAGACAGTTAAGATACTGAGTTAAGATTATATTTACCATGCCTGGGGTGTCCATGAGACGAGGGAACTCTGATAAAATTTCGGATATTGGCTTGGAGCCATTCTCACGAATCCAATGAGCCCTAAAAGGAGCAGTTTCTCTCATATACTGCTCCACTTGGTCCTGTGGTCTGGTATTATTTTTTAGCCATTCTTTTAGTTGAGATGCCCTCTCAGGAGACAAAGTTGAAGCTGTTGAAAGGTAGATAAAATATAAAGTCATATTGGTTAACTTACATCAGCACATGTAATTCTTGATAAAGGGTATTAACGGCATATTCTAATCTAGGGCATTCCAGGGCCAGTTTTATAGTGAGGCTGCGCTTTGACCATGGAGAAAGGTTTGCTACATTTTAATTGGATGAAATAAACCAAACCCCTTTCTAGAGACCTTATCAGTAGTGTATATAGAGAGCCTAAAGGCTGGCTCACACTACAGGAGTTTTAAAATCCTAACCGATTTCGAAATCTGGTTGCAGCTCACACTTAAAGAGAATCTTTGCAGATTTTCTTCCCTCAAATCTTAGACATGCTCACACTAGATTTGAAAATCGTGGTGCATCACACACTACACAATGTAATTAAGATTATTGTGCCAGAGGAAGTGGCTGACGTGATCTCACGCAGCAGATCGGAAGCAGAAAAGCGGATGTAAACAAAAAAGCTGTCCCTCATATCAAGTCATATTCGTGAAAAGGTTGCCGTGACCAAGGAAAGACAATTTTTTTTTTTTATCATTCTTTTAACATTTAAGGTTAGGCTATTTTAAAGCATTTTATTTTCTATATTTTTTTCCGATCATGTTAACAAGTTAGAGCAGTTGTTCTTAAACAGTGCATGAGTTCCAGTCTTCTTGCTCTTCATTTTTAAACTGACAGGACTTAAACGCTCATGCAAACGATACACTTTCACTCAATGATGATTAAACTTTGCAATTAAAGTCGTCTGTACGCTAATTTGTAGTGAAAAAAATAAAAACTTCAGTGCTTTGTGTGAAGATTATGACAAAAGGAATTTTATTACCTGGAATAACAGTCGACCTCTTCTCACAGATAAAAGCCACAGAAGATGGTGTTCTTAATCTGCGCATTCTCTTCCTAATATTGCGAAGGCGCTCCTCAAGAAATCCCGTGGAAGGTCTGTGCCTTCGCCCGGGGCTGAACCATGCCTCCTGAAATGTTATTGAGTTATGTATTCAATTTAAAATTTGATTTATCTCAAACACAAGATCACTTCATGAGTGAGCACAAATTATTCCAATAGTAGACACACTGCAAAACATACACAAACATATGGATATAGACAAGATTGGTTGAAGACCAGAATAACTCGGCTGGACAGGAAAGTTTAGTGACTGCAGAAATAGACAAATTAGAATAAAGTAAAATGCATATACTCACATAGCCATTGCCTTCAGGGTCACGCAGACAGGAAAATGTCTCTACTAAAGAGATGGCCATTGCTTTTTTGGTCTCTGTCGATGGTCTGCATTACGATTGTCAAATATGAAAGGAAAGCTTGTAATTTTAAATTTGAAAGTTTCATAGTTACAAAAAAAAAAGCCAATACTCACGTTTCGCCATATCTCTCAATAAGATGAGCAACAATAATTCGCACCATTGCACGCCTTTGCTGGGTGGTAATTTTATTACTCTCTAGGCTCTCCACAATAGAGGGTCCATGTGGTGCTTTCATCAGTATTGCACGGATATCCTGTGGTACATAGCAGAGTTGTCTTTTTAAATGCAAATAGTACATTTCATGTTATTTTACAAGAAGACTGTCATATCTAAATCAAATTAGTTTTAGAAACATACATGCATATCATCTGGAACAAGCTGAAGAACGATTGTTGGCTCTGTATTTTCAGAAGAAGTGCGTCCAAATGTTGGCTCTGTATTTTCAGAAGAAGTGCGTCCAAATGTTGGCTCTGTATTTTCAGAAGAAGTGCGTCCAGATGTTGACTCTGTATTTTCAAGTGCAGTGCTTGGCTGTGTATTTTCAGGAGCAACGCTAGAGTGTGGTGGGATACTATTCTACAAAATGAATAAAAAGAAACTGTTTAAGCAAATATATGGTATTCAAACCGTATTCTACATACTGCTGTACATTTAAAAACTAGGGCTGCACGATACAGTATATTGTATTAGAATCGTTATGTCAAGTATAGGAACTTAAAGGGATACTCTACTGGTTTTTCATATTAAACGATGTTCTTCCTTTAACTAAGACGAGCTGATACATACCTCTCTCGTCTGAATGATGAGTTTTCAGTTGTCTTTTGAATGCTGTCAGTTATCCATTTTACACGCTTAGAAAAGCGCAACGTTTTATTTTGTGTCACCGTCATAGGTCGAGTTACACTACTCGTGGAATTGTATTTAAATAGGGAAAACGTGGAGGTGCTTGGTCGCTTCTCTTCTTGGCACGTATTGAATGAACAGGACTGAGATAAGATCTAACAAAGGTTCGTGGCAAGAGAGCGATTTAGTGCACGCACTGAGAAGAGAGAGGTATGGATCAACTCGTCTTAGTTAAGGGAATAACATCGTTTAATATGAAAAACCAGTAGAGTATCCCTTTAATATTCAACAATACTTTTGATCTATCATTGACACCATTATATGAGAACTGAACTGAGCTGGACGATGACATCACAGTTTTCTCCAGAATGGCTATATAGATAAATTAAGTGAATTAATAACTTTTTTACAACAGAAATGAATCAACACTGAACTTTCTATTGTATTGATTAATGATTAATTCTTTACAAATAGAGCTCATCTGGTGAAAATTGTTTTCATATCGCAAAATATGCAGCAGAAAAGCAAAATATTGCATTGTTCGTATTTTTTTTTTATATATATCGTGCGGCCCTCTTAAAAAAAAAAAAAAAAACACTAAATTTTACTATAGCACTAGAGTACATTAAAACTCAATTAAAGCATATTTCACTTTGCATTTTTTCCACTCACTCAACTGCCAAGCTTGAATTGTGCAAACATTCTATGCCAAAGCTGTACAGGTCCTGACCCCTGTCTCCGTATCTGGTTTGTGAAGAAGGCTCCTGTTTCTAAGAACTGTATGCATGCTTGGAGCCAGATAATGATGAAGCTTGCCTGATCTCTCCCCAAACTAAGTGACACTGAATACTAAAAAAAGTTCATTTTGATTCGACTGTTTCAAACTAAAAATGTATTCCATTGTTTTCAGATAATTAAAGCACCCTGTATCGGAGAGATACATAGAAACAATCGTCATTTTTTCTGAATGACTGAACAGCATGGAGGGGATGATGATCAGTGAGGTCAGTGACATCAATACATGTGAAGACATGAGAGTATTGCACAGCATAGGCAAACAAATGCCTTTCAAATCCAACAGTTTCAAACTTTTGAATCACAAATTTTAGTTTGGAGTCAAAAGCCAAACAGTGTCTTATACGTCCAAACTGGGGGTCACCACTTGAACAGTAGGACACAAAAAGTGTCATACCTGGCCTATATGTCGTTCCTTTATATTTCACCCAGGCTGGTACATACATCTCTGTGTGGGTTGGAACATTTTCCAAGCCTCCTTGGATATCATGACATCTCTCAAGGTCTGCAAGAATAGTGCTGTGTCCTGGGCCCACTTCAATGGGGTGATCAAAGACAATTCCAGAAAAGAAATTGTAACACAGCATTACTTGATGTCTAATGGCCATCGTTTTACAGATATTCTTGAAGTTGCATGTGACATGGCTTATGCGTTTAAAGAAGTTATGCTTTGCTTCAAACCGCATAGTCCAATACTGCATCAATGGCCCAAGCTGTCTTATGGCTCTTGGATAATGCAACATGAAGTGGTGTTTAGGTTTTAGATGTTGCTGTGGGTACAACTCAAGGAACATACTATGATGTTCCTCTATGAGCCACTTCAAGTAGATCGTACTTTCAACAGTGAGTGATACTGAAAAAATCAATTCCATGCAGGAAAGGAGGAGAAGCAGTAGCTGCCAGAACCTATTTGACTCTGGAACTAGATCTCCCATCATTAGAGGCAGCAGTCTCAATAAGCACCACATCTGTGCTGCTGTCTGTTTCATGGTCCCATCTTTTTTACGCAGGTAATTATTTGTAATCAGAGAAGGCTTGTTGTGGGCATCACTGAACCCGTAATCAAAGCTGGTGATCCTGCAATTTAATGTATCTAATGTAAAGTGTCCTTCCTCAATCAGTGAGTTTATGATCAATTTCATCTCATAACACCCTACACCTTCTAAGATGTCGTGCATAATGTCTGGTGCTATGTTCTTGCTGACATCAAAAAAGTGGAGATCATTAAAGGCACTTGCTTGTTTTAAGCCAGTGTCTGAGACACTGCCAAGACTGAGGTCTCTCTCGTTAGACTCAGCAGTGCGAAGAATGTCACAGTCTTCCTTAGTCTGTATTCTAAGGGTGTCTTTTGGTACACGGCACCACCGACAAGCATAATTGCTTGCAAAGCTTTCGGTGAATCCAAGAACTCCATTTAGTGCCAAGTTATCACCAACAACCTGGCAAATGCTGACTTTTACTTTTCCATCAAATGTTGGTGTTTTGATATCCACACCCTCTTTCTCCAAAGATTTTATGTCCTCCACTATGGGCTTTAAAACTGCATTAATGCCATAGGTTTTGACGTCATCAGTTTTGTAGACTGCCAGCAGAAAAAGGGAGGATAAGCTGGAAAGCAGCTCTTTTGGTAAACATTTGATGGCAAAATACATAAAACCTACTTTGTGGACAGATGTCTTTGAGCCAAGTGGATTCACAGTCTCTACATCATCAGTATAAATAAGGAGAGGAATAGAGACCTCCTGAGAGAACAGGGCATGGTTTTGGCAGAGCTCACCATCACAAAAATCTTGTAGGAGACCATTAGTGCTCTTCTGCCATGCAACAACCTTGGACATGATGCCTGGTAGTTCAAGTATCTTTTTCAGGAGTGGTCTAAGTGGAATGCGCTGAAACGTGTCGCGCGTTGAAATTTGTTTTACTGCACCACTGCTGGAATCTATGTGCTGAACATAGGAAATGCCAGGGAAAGTCTCCTCTATTGGCTGAATAAAGTTTCCAGACTGCATAAAATATTTCATTTGCTGATATTCAGTCTCTAAGTTTTTGAAAGGCTCAGATGCTGCCTGGAATTGATGGTTCAATTCCTGTGCCTCTATGCTTTTGTCCTGCCCAAGAGCCTTAAGGAAAGACATAGTTCTATCCTGAAGCTTGGAGACTATATCTGACAACAGACTTGAGGTTTCTTGCACTGTAAAATTTACTGCAGAAAAAGTCTGTGAAGACTTTGATTTGAGTTTTGCCAAGAAACGAGCTACCCTATCTGTCATTTCCTCTTCCTCCAAATCATCCATGTCACTGAGCCCACCAATGTCAGACTCTTCCATGCATGAATGCTCTTGAGCATCCAGTGCCTCAAATGTTGAAATGGGTGCTTGGTCAGCATTACATCTAGATGCATTGTTAGTCTCATTGTGGGCATTATTGTGTTGAAGTAAGTGCCTTCTGTACGACCTCATATAAAAAAAAGTCCTCTGACAACCATGCTGATTGCATTCAAAATGTGTGGAAGCACTGTTAATACTGTGGACTGCTCTTAAGTGGGTAAAAAACTGTTTCAAGTCAGCTATGATAGCTTGACATCGAAAACACCTATAATGCATTATAGACTTACAAATTTCAGTTCTTTGAAATGTTTTAAAAATTTTAACCGCACGCCAATTTTGGGGATGAGAGTTGCAATCGTGTTCTCGTCCAGCAACAGGAAACTTTCATCATCTATCTGCTCATCTAAAAGGAAGATAACACAAACATACAAGACTATCTATGAAATTACACTGACATCGACTAGGCACAGAAGTGGTATCCTATGCCAGCCCTACAATATAAGTGATTCACCCTACAGGGTTTGACACTAAGCCTTGTGTTGTGCTTGTACTTTGGACAAGTAAATTGGCCATTCATGTTTTTGATCTTATTGTGAATGGTGTAGCAAACTTGGTTAAGTGGTAGGGCTGGCACTGGATGCAACTGTGAAAAAAGATTACCAACAAAGAAAGAGAATTTGAAATTCAAAATTGTTCATCACATATTTACCAGCAAATTTTTCAATGAGGCACTCAAGATTCCAGTTGATGAGTTTTTGTTGAACAAAACTGTCCATTGCTGTAAAAGAACAGAAGGAAACATCATATTAGTAATATCTTATACATATCTTAATATCTTATACAGTTAGCTGGATAATTCAAAAATATTTTATAAAATCACCTAAAGATATTTCATAGAATATGTTTTATTAATTCCAATGTATTAGTCTGTTCGTAAAAATAATAAATAAAAAATAATAAATAAATGTTGTTAATGTTTATTTTTCCTGGCAGTTGTTAAAAAATTCATGATTTAATGATCATCATAATTATTTTAATTATTGTATACCAAATTGCATGACAAACCAAAATAATAAATTGTATTAATACATAATGGTTTCTCCTAAGGTTTTTTTTTCTCTCTCCATTCTGTCACCTGATGGAGTTTTGGGTTCCTTGCCACTGTTGCCTCTGGCTTGCTTAGTTGGGGGCACTTAATATTATTAATATTGTTAATATTTACTTTTTTTCAGAGCCACAATTGAACCAAATTGAACTACAGTAACTATTTCATAATTTATTATCTTTACACAGTTTTAGAACGGAACTGAAGCAACACTAAACTGACTTCGGCTGAACAATTAACGTTACAGTTTTTGATGAGAATTGTACTGAGGTGGACGATGACCTCACTGTTTTCTGCAGGGCTGCTTTATAGCCGAATTGAAAGGCTGGTTCAGACGGGACGATTTTAAAATTGTCGGCCGATTTTCCAAACCTGAGAGACCCCACACACAGCGATAAAAAATCACGGGTTTATACCGTGTGTGGTGCGCAGCCACACGGCAAAATCAACACATCACACACGAACCGATTTGACTCCCGAGCATTCCTAGGTCATACTGCAACATAATAAAATATTTTTTTATGTAAAGCTACCTTTCGAAAATGACGAACAATAACAGATAAATAGTAGCCTTATAGCTTCTTTAGCATATGCAGCCACTAGCCAGTGACGTTAACTGCATCCAACACCACAGAGTCAGTTTCAAGTAACGTTACAAGAAACCCGCAAAATTTCTGGAGATAAAACACCAACAACTGTATTTGGACATCGTGACCGTGTTATAAGTGGAATAATTGATGACAGACCGTGTAAAAATAATGAATGTTATGTCTGTGTTATGTTAGCCTAACGGTCGCTAGTTCCACAGACGCAAAAAACAGAGGATTCGTGTTAAATAATATAAGGGTCCGTCGTCAATAATTCATAGATAATTTCAACATAATTTCTTATTGACTTTCTGACTTCGTTGACAACTTAACGTTAGGATAATTTTAATAAAACACTGTTACTCACCTTTAAGCTCGCTCCTGCTTGAACCTCTCCTCCTGTTGACGTTGATTTGAACAGTGTGTGAGGACAAAAGCGCGCGTAGAGGTGAGCGCTGGGTCAAACGTTTCCAAAACAAACCCAAATGCTGGGTCATTGTCAGCAGATTACAGAGAAAATAACCCAGCAACATAATCAAAATGCTCAACCCAGCATATGGGTTTAAAAAATAACCCAGCATTTTTTAGAGTGTAGTCAAAATGCTGCATGTAACGGCATGAAAATAATGTGTCCGTAAATTTCCCGTTGACAAACAAAAGGATTAGGATCTCTTTTTTTTACTTCACTATATCAGGAAATAACCTGATCCTATTAATAAACACTCCACCTTTGCTAGCAAAATAGAAAAAAGATTCTCGTATATAAAACAAAGTAGGCTAATAAAACAAGCAAATTAATGAGGAGGCTAAATAATCAAGTTAATAATCAAATAAGTTAGCCCCGCCCCCTCACGATAATATCGTGTATCGCCGATCTCACAGGCTGACGATAGGACGATATGAAAATGGAGCATATCGCCCAACACTAGATGAAGTCACACGAGTGCCTAATTCATGTAGATTTCTCCGAGAATTACGCCTGCAAATATGCAACTGAGATCCAATCAGTGCATTTTGCTTCCTCCCAGGTGCAGGCAACACTCCACACGGGAGTGCTTTACTTTGGAGGGGTTGAAGACCACATGTGCTTCTGCACCATTTCACCCTCAAAGGAGAAGGGTCCCGCTGCTATATGGGCCCACCTCTCTCCCATCTTAGATCACCTGAAGCAACACCATCCCACAGTGTCGGTGCTCCATTTTTTCAGTGATGGGCCTTGCACCCAGTACCGCCAAAAGGGTAATTTCTTTCTTTTGAGCCAAAAAATTTACCAACTTGGTTTCATAGCTGGAACATGGAGTTTTTTTGAGGCCGGTCATGGCAAGGGGGCACCAGATGGAGTTGGAGGATCACTGAAACGGAGAGCGGACGCATTAGCTAACAGTGGGAAAGATGTGCCAAATGCACAAAAACTTTTTCACGCCTTGGTGGATGCACCATCATCAGTGAAGCTGTTCTACATTGACGAACGGGCCATTAACAACGCAATGGAGGAGATGCCAAAGTCACTTCCTATCGTACCCTTCACCATGAAAATCCACCAAGTGGTCACGGTCTTCCCATATCAGCTAATTTACCGGGATGTGAGTTGCTCCTGTTCCACTCAGCAAAAGTTGGTGTGCCAGTGCCACCAAACAAAGACATTCAAGTTCCCTGCTGATCCTCTCACATTAAATGGAAAGCAGAGAGTTGGAGAAGAGAGACCCGTTGGAGAAGAGAGAGCCGTTGGAGAAGAGAGACCCGTTGGAGAAGAGAGAGCCGTTGGAGAAGAGAGACCCGTTGGAGAAGAGAGACCCGTTGGAGAAGAGAGACCCGTTGGAGAAGAGAGAGCCGTTGGAGAAGAGGGAACCGTTGGAGAAGAGCGAGCCGTTGGAGAAGAGCGAGCCGTTGGAGAGAGAGATGAAGACCAACTGACAGACATACACTGGGAGAGCCAGAATGTAGTTGGACAATGGTGTGTCCTCACATATGACCATGATATCTATCCTGGTACCATCCTGGAGGTCAATGAAACTCATGTGAGGGTCAAGTGCATGCACCAAATAGGAAAAAATCGATTCTTTTGGCCTGGTCGTGAAGATGTTCATTGGTACCCACATGAGGACATCCTCAGATTAATTCCACCCCCGACCAAGGTTGCGACACGGCATGTAGAGATCCAGAGGGATATCTGGTCGAGTATTTCTCAATAACTCAGCAGTTATTTTCTTCTTATAGGCATGTTCTGGTTGGTTTGGGTCAATTCTGTTGCCAGATGTGTCAATTCTGTTTTTAGTCTTTCATCTTGAATATTAATGAAATAATACATTGAAATATTAAACTGCTTAATATTGTTTTTTTTATATTGTGCAAGAGTAAGATATATGTTATAGTTTTATCTCTACTCTGTGATGTTCAAGTAATTTCATAAAAAAAACAAGTGCACCCTTTGGATAATCCACTATTGCCTGGGGGGAATCTAATTTTGAAGTTGTATAAATATAACATTTAATATCTGTTTTAAAGGCCTGAATAAAAGGACTACATGGCAAATGAAACTAAAAAGATTTATCATTTTTTGATGTACTGTTACTTCTATATATTTGGTTGTTCGTCCGTAACAGAATTGACGAGAAAAACTATGAACAGGTGATATTTTGATAAAATAAAGAAAATAATAAACAATCTGTATTTGTATAGCACTGAATACATCAACTTTAAAGTGTTTTCAAGGTAATTCTTAAACAATGGTTCTGTGTGACAACCTTTTTTTTTTTTTTTTTTTTAAATTGAAATGCAAAATGTATCTCCAATTATAGAATCACCCATATGGCTTTATGATCAGTTAAGGGAGTAGGGCAGATGCTAACATCAACATAATCCTTATTTAAGCTGTCAGATATGAGCCAATAGTCCAGTCGTGATTGCCTAGAGCCTGATTTATTACTCCAGGTGTACAATCTGCTATTAGGATTCTTCTCTCTCCATATATCTATCAGTTTAAATCTTCTTATGAAGTCAGTCAAGTATGAGTCTGAACTGTTATGCTGAGAAGGAGGACTTTTATCTATAGACCCATCTAGAATAATGTTAAAATCTCCTCCTAACAATATAAAAGCATTTGGGAATCTAACCAACCAACCTGTAAAAATGTTTTCAATTGACAACAAAAGGTTAACATTTTCTTTCTTTGTATTGTACCCATAAATATTAGAAACTATGTAGGTTGAGTCATTTTGTTCAATAATTTGGCAAGAGCCAGGTGTTTGTTGATGTGCAAGAAGTTAGTAATGAACGAGTAAAATGGATGGTATCAAAGTTCTTCCAAAAAAAAAAATTAGGAATTAAAAGGATTTAAAACACCCCCAGCCATTACTAAAACAAGATACAACAGCTTCAGCAGGTATCTGTAAGTTTTAATCGTAGTATTAGATTTCTTTCTTTAGATTGTCAGCAGTGGAGATTTCTTTAAGACTGCAAGGGAAGCCCAGCTTCCCCTATAATGTCAAACAAATAATGATTAAATGTGTACTATTGTGTTAACATTTTAATGAGTAAAAATGCGTTAGAACACGGTAATCTCGAAGACGAGTTCGTTCAGAATAAGCAACAAATAGGTCGGCTGACTTGATCTCCTTCTCATGCATACCTGTAGCGCGTCACAGTGCATGCATTTTCCTATGGCATTTCCCCGTTGAAGCTCGGCGTCCATTGACTTCAATGGGGCTGCTTTGAACAGTTTTTTTCAGTGCTGTTAAACTAAACGGTCATTGGATAAATGCTGCGATTATGTCCCGCCCACGGACGCCGGGCGTCTCTGGGTTTAATAGGGAAGTGGGCTGGCCTGGCGTCCGGGCGTCCGCGTGATGATTGGAGGATTGCATCTCCTTTTGATTGACAGCGATTTCACCCAATAAAAAAATCGCTGACGCGGAAGCTAGTTTAAAGACTTCAAGCAGTCTCGTCGCGAATTTTGTGTGTATTTTACTCGAAAGACGAACTGCTGTAACATATTTCTTAGAATTTGCAATTTTCATCAGATATTTCACAGTTCAACCTAATTCCCACATTTCTTCCGTCGATGTCAGGTGTCTTGTTACATGTGCGGGCGTGGTGTTTGAATCACGGCACATCTGTCTAGTTTGGTTTCACTTTTGTGTTGGGATTCGGACATGCATTCTCCGCGTGTTTGTTTTCGGTTGTGAGTGCACAGGATGACCTTATGGTCGTACTCATGCGTAACGTTAGCTTTCTGTCTTGTCGTGTTCGCTCTGTTCAGTGTGTTGTGTATTGTGTGGCACATGGTTTGTGTTTACATCGGCCGCGTGCTTTCATGTCATGTTTTGTCTTGTGCTGTGTAGCACACAGCTTGTGTTTTACACTAGCTGTGTGCTTTCATGTTGTCATGTTCTGTGTGAACACGTGTCTAATGAGTGTTCTCATCGTTCTTCAGGTCTCATTTTGTGTGAGCACAATTGCTTTTTAATTTGTTTTATTGGTCATGTGTTTTTGTCATGTTTGGTATGAGCACATGGCTTGTGCTTGTCATGTGTTTGTTGTGCCATATGTGCTTTCCTGTCATTGTGTCGACTCCCATCTCTTGTTTCCTGATTATTAGTTATTTTGCCCCACCTGTCCTCCCTCGTTACCTGCCTTTTTTGCTCCCAATTTATTCCCCTTGTTTGTTTTTTTTTGTTTGTTTGTTTGTTTATCAATAAAATAAAGCCTATCAACTCTGCATCGAGTCCTCGCTCTTTTCACCATCCCCACACCTGACAGTCGAGTTTAAAAAAAAAAGAAGGAAAAAAGAGCTTCCCCTCTTTGAAAGACCAGCAGCCGCCACTGATTGTCAGATATACATTTTGATCGTCAAACACTTTGTGCAGCAGTCAATAGGACGTGCACGCGCGGCGCACACACAAAATAAGGTAGGTAGTCTTATTAGTCTTTAAAATGTAATGTGTGCATGAAGAATGGGTCAAGGTTTTTTTTTTTTTTTGTTATTAGAGATTCTTTAGTCACCTCTTTTTAGCTATTCTCACAAAAATCATGTTGTTAAGTAAATGCTATTTATTAAAACAATAATAGAACTGAGCTGGCCAACCATGTCTGAGATAAGTCAGCAAGGAAAGAAGAGGGTGCGTGGCATTGTGATTTTTAATTTTAATTAGCAAGAAATATTCACCTTATTAAAAAAAAAAACATTTTATTTAAAGTTTATTCCTTGTATCGTGACACTTACATGGATTTCTCTAGAACCGCTCCTGATTGTGGATGTAAAATATATTTATAGAAAATTTGAAAGGTAATTGCCAGATGTTTTACTGCGTCACATGGCAACCAACAATTTATTAAATGTTACAAAATAGTCACAGCTGTAAAGTTGCAGCAGTGTAATTCACACAATTCACCACAGGAGGGCGACTGGCTAAGTTGTCTTGTTTTAAAGTTTTAGTGCTTAGCTTTTTGTGTGTTCAAAGGTTTATATAATGAGCGGGTACATGTATCAGTTGTCCAAATCGTGCTTTGTCTTATCCTGAATCACTGTGGTACACCTATAATAAGCGTTTATATTCGGACTATTTTATACTGGTTCTGGTCTTACCGC